ACAACAACAACAACAACAACAACAACAACAACAACAACAACAACGACAACAACACAACAGCAACAACAACAAGAACAACAGCAACAACAGCAACAACAGCAACAACTACAACATACTACTACTACTACTACTACTACTACTACTACTACTACTACTACTACTACTACTACTACTACTACTACTACTACTACTACTACTACTACTACTACTACTACTACTACTACTACTACTACTACTACTACTACTACTACTACTACTACTACTACAGCAACAACAGCAGCAACAACAGCAACAACAGCAACAACAGCAACAACTGCAACAACAGCAACAAAACACATTGGCCGCCCGCGAGCACCCGGGGCCCCCCCGGGTGTGCTCACAGAGCCGCACGACCCCGCCGGCCTGCCGCGCCGCCCACCCCCGCCGTCGGGCTGCTCCAACTTTTTTGGGTGCGTGGGCCCCGGAGGCCCGGCCCACTTCCCCGGCACCGGCGTTTCGTCCTGCATCGCTCTCTGGCGCTCCCGCGAGGCCCCGCGAGGGCCCCCTTGGAGGCCGCAAGCGGCCAAAGACCGCCCGCTCCCACTTCTTGTGGGGAGCGTCGGATCTCGGGGCCCTCCGCCACTGCCCCTCCCCCCCCCGGCGCTGCACTGCGCCCTGTCGGGCGGCCGCGCCGGGCCGCGCCTCGACGATCTTCTCCTGGCCCGGGGCAGCGACGGCGGGGGCGGGCGCTGGCCCCCGATCCCCGCTGCTCGGAAGCCTCGCCCCCCGATGCTCCGTCCTCGGCGCTCGCTCCTCGGTCGGCGGCCCTGGGCCCTCCCTGCTCGCTCCCTGGCCCCCGCTGCTCGGAAGCCTCGCTCCCCGACGCTCCCTCCTCGGCGCTCGCTCCTCGGTCGGCGGCCCCAGGCCCTCCGGCCTCCTCTTCTCCCGGCCAGGGCGGAAGTCACCACCGAGACCACGAAGGCGACTAGGTAATGCAACTGCTGCGCACCGCGCGAGGCCCTCCTCCTCCTCCTCCTCCTCCTCCTCCTCCTCCTCCTCCTCCCCCCTCCTCCCCCTCCTCCTCCTCCCCCTCCTCCCCCCTCCTCCCCCCTCCTCCTCCCCCCTCCTCCCCCTCCTCCTCCTCCTCCTCCTCCTCCTCCTCCTCCTCCTCCTCCTCCTCCTCCTCCGCCGCCGCCGCCGCCGCCGCCGCCGCCGCCGCCGCCGCCGCCGCCGCCGCGTGTGTGCCCGTGCTCTGCACTGCACCCTGTCCAGGGCTGATCTTGAGGCGAGGTTGCAGTGCAGCCTGGCACTAACGCCATGCTCAGATTTCGTCCTCGCGTGATAGCCCATGCGCTCGAACACTGCCAGTAGTAGCCAGGCATACGCGCGTCTGCGCAATGGCAGCCTGCGATTGCTTGATCTCAAGCCCAGGGTGCCCTACGGTGTACTGCCAGTTGATGGACACGTCGACGCATGCAACTGATATGCGAATGCTTGGCCTGACTGTCCCAGAGCAGTACTGGCTGCCTGAACTGGTTGCTGCCTTCGCCTCTTCATGAGAGCACGACCCCAGCCCTCCTCTGTCTTGTAGCCCATTGCCAGACCGATTTGGGCCACAGCGCGGCATATGATGAACCCCACTAAGGCGACCTCCGAAGGCTACCTTATGAACATGATACATGTTCTCACGTCGGGTAAAGCGCTTGCTCCTGGCATGGCCCAGCCATCCCATGCAGTGATCGCGGCCGGGCCCCCTCCTCCCTCCTCCCTCCCTCCTCCCTACTTCCTCCTCGCTCCACGTCCCCTCCCCCTCCTCCTCCCCGACCGAGGCCAACTGCTCTTCACAGTGACGTTCCATCTGATCCCGCGCGGACGTCTAGCATAGCCAGCCACCAGGAGCAGAATAATGAACCGTTGGTCGGAGGGCACAGCGGAGCGACAGACAAACGACGGGCCGGGCGAGGTTACGGTCGCCCGACTCCAGACGACACGTGGAGGCTGATGCGCCTGCCTCGCCCCAGTGCGCAGCACAGATAAGACAACCTCCTACACGTGGGACTCATCGACTCGAGGAGACTGCTGAGGCAGCGGGGAAAATTCCGAGCCGAGGCTCCCACGTCGTCTTGCCGGCTGGGGCGACGTCGACGCCCACCGGCGCTCCTCGACGCCAGAGCGGCGCCCGTCGGCGCAGGAGGCGGCGCTGCCTCCTCGATGGCCTGAGGCCAGCGCACGCTGCCGCGCTCTGAAGGCGGACCTGCGAGGACGCACCATTAATTAGTTCGGGCCAGTCCCCCTACAAGGGGATTTTGGACGAAAACTAAAAAATACTCCACAAATTCTCAGAAAAGATGCCCAAAAATACCCACAGCCCCCAGGCTACTTTTTTAGTATTTTTTTATATCCCCCCTGTAGAGGGACAGGCCCAACTTAAACGTACAGGGCAGTTTTTAAGACATGAGATTTAAAATAAGATTTTTAATACATGACTAATTCATGAATAGACTTATGCCTGAACTCATCGTTGTTTTTACTACTAAACCCTGCATTGTTTGTACATGATCCGCACGCGGAGCATGTATTTAAAACGGCACTGTACCAGGATCCCACGAGCTGCTCGGCGGCGCGCCCGGGGGGGGGGGGGAGCGCGCAGGGGGCGGGCCCTCTCGCAGAAGGCTCTCCGAGGTCCCCAGGCCTTCCGAGAGGCCTCCAAAGCCTCCCCCGGGGGCACGCAGGGAGCACACACCTCTCTCGCAGGAAGGATCAGGGGGCAGGGGGCCACATGCGAACCCTATAGGCCTTCCCCCCAGGATTTCTGAGGGGGAGGGAGGGGTTCACTTCGCTCGGGAGCTCCCAAGCGAAGGGAACCCCACCCTCCCCCTCAGAAATCGTGGGGGGTAGGGGTAGGGTTCGCATGTGACCCCCTTAGGGGGGGCTCCCGAGAAGCCCTGCCGCCGCCCGAGCAGGCCTGCTCCTTCTCGCCCCCCCCCCCCCCGCGCTGGCCGCCGAGCTGCTGCCGAATCCGCGGGCCGTGCCGTCGGGCGAGTCGCAGAATCCTGGACGGAGCCCCCTTCCGCGCACGGCGACGCCGTGCGCGGCGGGCCGAACGTGGAGCAGGGCACCGCGGCGGCGAGCGGCAGGCCTGCGCCGCCGCTCGGCTCGACGCGGCAGGGGCGCCGGCGGACACAGCCGACGAGATCTGCCAGCAGCCAGCACCTTCCACTGACGACCACCTTGGGCGTCGGGATGGGCGGCGCCTCTTAGGCGCCCTCGCCGGGCGCGGCCAGGAGGAGGTCGCGGAGAAGCACCGCCTCACAGACGGCTGCCAGTGCTGTTCGGAGGCAGCCGAAGGCGCCCATCCAGGAGCCTGGCGTGATCCAGAAAGCGCCGCAGAGCGGGTATCGGATGACGAGACACGAGACCAGTTCATCACGTGAGCGGATATCGGATGGCAAGACACGAGACCTGTTCCTTACGTGGGGCACATGATCGTCATCGTAAACATCATCAACAACAAAAACAAAAACAACAACAACAACAACAACAACAACAACAACAACAACAACAACAACAACAACAACAACAACAACAACAACAACAACAGCAACAACAGCAACAACAACAACATCATGTTCAGCATCAGATTCAGTAACAGCATCATCACCATCACATCACCACCAACAACAACAACAACATCACCATCACCACCAAAACCATCATCATGATCATCAGCAGCAGCATCATCAGCACCAGCATCATAATAACCATCATTAGAGTCACCATCATCAAAATCAACATGTTCGTCGTCGTCAGCAGCAGCATCAGTATCAAAATTATGATCACCACCATCATCAGCAGCATAATCCGCATCAACAGCATCATCATGATCCTCATCATCATCATCATCAGCAGCAGCATCATCATCACCATCATCATCATCATCATCATCTTCATCATCATCATCATCATCAGCAGCATCAGCATCATAATCATCATCATCATCTCATCATCATCATCATCATCATCATCATCATCATCATCATCATCATCATCCTCAATGTCATCATCATCATCATCATCATCATCATCATCATCATCCTCATCCTCATCATCATCATCATCATCATCATCATCATCATAATCATCATCATCATCATCATCATCATCACCGTCATCATCATCATCATCATCATCCTCATCATCATCAACAACATCATCATCAACATCATAATCTGCATCATCATCAGCAGCAGCATCATCACTAGCATCACCATCATCGTCGTCGTCAGCATCATCATGATCATTGACAACATCATCGTCAGCATCATCATAATCAGCAGCATCATCATCAGCATCATCAGTATCATCAGTATCATCAGCATCAGCAGCATCAGCAGCAGCAGAAGTACCATCACCATCATCATCAGCAGCATCATAATCTTCATCATCGTCATCGTCAGCATCATCATCATCATCATCATCATCATCATCATCATCATCATTCACCTCATCAGCATGATCATCATCATCATCATCAGCATCATTAGACTCATCATAATCATCATAAGTATCAGCATCAGCATCATCATCAGCATCACCATCATCATCATCATCATCATCATCATCATCATCATCATCACCGTCACCATCGTGGTTATATCATCAGCATCATCAGCATCATCAGCACCATCATAATCGTCATCATCATCCATCTCGTTGTCATCATCATCATCATCATCCTCATCATCATAATCATCATAATCATCAGCATCATCATTAGCAGCAGCATCTTCGCCCTCACCCTCACCCTCATCCGCATCCTCACCCTCACCTAACCCGCGTCATCACCCTAATCCTCCTCATTCTCTTCCTAATCCTCCTCATCATCATCATCATCATCATCATCATCATCATCATCAACATCAACATCGACAGCAACAGCAACAACAAACATCAAACTCCGGATCCTGCCCCTGCTCCTGCTACGGCATCTCACTGAAATTCCTCGAAAGCGCCCAAAAAGCTCGGAAGTCCTGTCTGATCTGGGCCGGGACCTCCTCGACTGTCTCGGAGACGCGGTACCTCGCCCGCTGCCGCCGCTCGGAACGCAGGCTGCTCCCAGGCAGGAGCCCCGCTTGGCCCTACCCTGCCCGTCGCTCTGGCAGCTTCAGTCGGCGAGCTGCGGAGTACGGGGGGGGGCGCCTCCTTCCTCCTCCTCCTCCTCCTTCCCCCTCCCATTCCTCCTCCTCCTCCTCCTCCTCCTCCGCCTCCTCCTCCTCTTCTTCGTTTTCCTCTTCCTCCTCCTCCTCCTCCTCCTCCTCCTCCTCCTCCTCCTCCTCCTCCTCCTCCTCCTCCTCCTCCTCCTCCTCCTCCTCCTCCTCCTCCTCCTCCTCCTCCTCCTCCTCCTCCTCCTCCTCCCGTGCGTCCGCCCCCTCCGCCCCTGCCCCAAAAGTCCTCGAGCGTTCCTCCAGCGTCCACCTGCAGGAGGCCGTGCCCGACCCGAGGCCGGGCGCGCCTGGGCTCTGCGTCTGCCCGTGCGGCGCTGCAGGGCCCGTGCGGCGCTGCCGTGCGTCGGGCCCGTCGCCGCAGCGCAGGCACCGCGCGCGGGGCGGCGAGGCACCGTCTGCCTTTCGGTCGGGCCTGTCCTCCCACAGGAGGATTCGGGGCGAAGAATGTCGAAAAATACTCCAATGATAACGGAGAACAAAACCCAATCATAATATTTTTAGGGCTGCAGGGCTATGGGGCTATACATTTATAGGACCATAGGGCTAGGGCTATAGGACTATAGGGCTACAGGGCTATAGGAACACAGGGCTAGGGCTGTAGGATTTGGGGCGAAAAATAAAAATACTCCAACAATACCCTCCAAATATGCTCCAAGATAGTCAAAAAAACAATAGCCCCCTGACCATATTTTCCTTGACTATCTCTGAATAATCCCCCTGCAGAGGGACGGGCCCGACTCGAGTCTGCCCCAAGGGGCGAGGCTCCCCACGCGCGTCGCCCGGGCTGCAGCGAGCCCCTGGGGGGGGCGCCTGCGCACGTTTGCCGGGGACGTCTGGACACCGCTCGAACTCGTGCCGCCCCTCGCCTCGAAGCCTTCTCCTCCCTCCTCCCACCTCCTTCTCCTCCGCCTCCTCCTCCTCCTCCTCCTCCTCCTAGTCCTCCTACTCCTCCTACTCCTCCTCCGCCTCCTCCTCCTCCTCCTCCTCCTCCCCACCACCACCACCACCACCACCACCTCCTCCTCCTTACTCATCCTTCTCATCCGCCTCCTCCTCCTCCTCCTCCTCCTCACCACCACCACCACCACCACCACCGCCGCCGCCATCATCAGCATCCCCTCGCCCTCCTCACCCCTCTTCCTGCTCCTCCCCTGCGTCCGCCCCTCCCTCCCTCCCTCCTCCCTCCATCCATCAGTCCATCCGTCCTCCCTCTTCCCTTCGCCTTCCCCATCCCCCACCTCCATCCAGCCTCCATCCCTTGTATTCTGTAAGTTTGTGATCCCTCTGCCTGGTCCTCCCAACTCCCTCCTACCACCTCCCTCCGCACGCATCTCCCCTCCCTCCTCTAGTCACCAGCCCTCCCTCGATCCTTCTCCCCCTCTTCCTCCTCCATTCTTCCTCGATCTCGTCCTCGTCACCATCCCTCCCTCGATCTCTTCCCTATTCCCTCCCCCGCCCCCTCCGTTCACCATCGGTATCTGTCTGTCTCTCTCTCTCTCTCTCTCTCTTCTCATTCATTCTCTCTCTCTCTCTCTCTCTATCTTCCTCCTCGATCTCTGCCCGTCCCGACGCAGGCCGCAACCAGGGGCACAGGATCTGTGGGTGGTCCTGCCGCCGAGGGCGGGCTGGGGGCTCCGGGGCTCAGCGCCCGGCCGGGCCCGACGTGGATTTCGGTGCAGCCGCGCTGCAGGCGTCTTCCCTTCTCCGCCGTGTCTTCCAGGCTGCTTTCGGGCGTGGCCAGTTTTTCGTTGACGACCTGCTTCGGGTTCTGTCTCCTCCTCCTCCTCCTCCTCCTCCTCCCCCTCATGTTATGATTCCCTCTTCCGCCGCCGACTTGAGCCTCGAGCCCAAGAAAGCATACTCCATATCGACATCAGCCGTGTATCTTTTTATGGTTGCGGAGCCGTGGTGAACAATACACGGACCTAGGGTACATCTCCAACCCAAGTAGGGCTCTGGGAAGACTCGCTGTAGAGTAGGAACAATGGCAGCGGTGAAAGCTGTTAGGACGTGGTCTCCAAGATGTCTCCAGAAATGAAAGTGTATGGAGCGGTTGGGGCTATCGCCTCGAATCGTGATGTGGAGCTGTGAGCCAAGTAAGGTTGCTGAACCTGGAACGAGCACGAGAACATGCGAACCCCATCACACTAGCAGCCACAGAAGAGGAGGTAAATATTCGGCTAATTTCGCATACATTCTAAAGAGTTTTGTGTACGGAGAGATGACGAAAGTATGTAGGAAAATTGAGAAAGGGAACGGTCTTAAGATGTGGCGTAGGATGCGCATGTAGCATCGAACCTAGGCGTAGAAGGTTGAAGAATGTTGATAATAAGTTTTTACATGTACAGCAACTTGTGCAAGCAAAGCGTCTCAATAGTTCCAAAGTGACCACAGCAGACAATAGTTTCCGACATTGGAACAGAATCCGCCGATGCGGCTTGTGAGTTTCGAAGACCCTCAGATATAGCCTGAGCCTCAGATCTTGAGTTTCAGCTCTGCTTGGGGGGGGGGGACGGGGTGGCTCTGCCGGGGTAAAGGGGGGAGGGGGGTCCGAGTCAATTTTGGTGGCAAAATCGGAGCTCCAGTTCACTCCGGATCGGCCCCTAGTCCTGGAGAGCTCGAACGCGGGCTCATAAAAAACCCAGCGGCCGCCCAGACGGCCCAAGAGAGCCCTGAGTGGCCGAAACATCGCCCCAAGACGCTCAATATGTTCCCCAGACGGCTCCAGAAGCCTCCAACGTACTCCCCCGACGAGTGCCCAAAGACGGAGAATCTGCCCCATTCCCTCAGGAAAACGCACATTTGTAGCATTTTCGCTTCTTCGGCCTTCGCAGTGTCCAACACGGCCCAAGAGACCCCCAAAACAGGCCCAGAGGCTCTTAAGAGGGCCCCAGATCGGCCCCAGAAGGGCCCAAAACGGCCCAGAAGGCCCCCAAGACAGCCCAAGCGGGCCCCAGGACGGGCCCAAGAAGCGCCCAAGAGAGCTCCATGACGGCCCCAGAAGGGTCCAAGACGGCCCAAGAGGCGCCCAGGATACACCAAAGCGGCCCTGGGGGTCGTCAAGAAACCCCGAGAGGCTCTAAGTAGCCCTCAAGAGGCCCCCAAAGGGCGCCCAAAGGCGCTCACGAAGGCTGAAAAGTTACCTCCTGCACACCCCCAGGAGGCCTCCAGGATGCCTCCTGCATGCCCCCCCAGAAACCCAAAAGGCCCCCAAGAAGTTCAACAATCACCTCCAAGACGCACCCCCAGGAGGCCTCGAAGATGCGTCGTAGAGGCCCCTCAAGAAGCCCACGCAATGCCTCCGAGCTGTTTCCAAACCACTTACGTTTGAACAAACGCGCTGGGGCGAAAGCGTCCCTCTGACAGCGGGATCGTCCCGGATCGGCGGCACTGGCCGGGGGCCTCTACAATACCTTGGCAGAGCGAAGCTTTCTACGTTGAAGCGCGGGCTGGATATATACGCGCAGTGACTGCACGGAGGTGTTTTGGCTCAAGACTTTTATGGGTAAGAGCACAACTACTGTAAACTAGACTAAATACCATCAGATGTTGCACCCATATGTCGCCTACATCTATAAGGAATGTCCGGAATGCTCACCTCAATACTGCGCGCTTGTAAATCGAAAGCAAGTGTACACTCGTGAAAAAGCCTTGGATGCCCTTTCGTTCAGGATGGGACAACACCTTGTGACTGATCCGAATCACAAGATGTCACATGATGCAGCAGATGGTCTTAATCGCCGTACCAGAAGCTTGCGATAAGAGGGACTGGACCAAAATCCCACCGGGAAAGGCCTGGATGGACAAATCACTTGTGCCGCCACCGCCTCCCCCGAAACCGTCGGATCAGGCAGTGACTACCTACCAGACCACCCCAACCCAACCCGAAGACCCGAATTTGACCCGAATTTCGGGTTGGGGGGTGTACGGGTTCCATGTTCCCCGACCCCCCCCCCCACTGGAAATCGAGGATAAATTTGGGCCTTCGGGTTGGGTTGGGGTGGTTTGGTGGGTGGTGAGGCAGCAAAAAGCGATGTCAAAGGCGGAAGCCGCTCCCCGCCAAAGACGGCGAGCCCGAGTTGGAGCCGCAGCCGGGCCAGTGGCAAGAGGGTCCAAACCTTCTCTGACTACAAAGCAAAAAAGGAACAGGCAATCCTGAAGGACATTCGCATTTTGATGTGAACGATTTGAAGACGAGGCTCGGTGTGGCAGATCCATGTCCCATTCTCCCACTTTCCTTCCCCTGCTCTGTCCTCCCTCCCCCCTCCTCTCCCTTTACTCCTCCCTCCTGTTCCTCCCTCCTCCCCCCGTTCCTCCTCCTCCTCCTCCTCCTCCTCCTCCTCCTCCTCCTCCTCCTCCTCCATCTCCTCCTCCTCCTCCTCATCCTCCTCCTTACCTGGATCGTATTGCTCATCCTAATAGGAGGACGGAGGACGGAGGTGGTAGTTGCGGTGGCTTCTACGGGCTCTGCTAGTACAACAAATGCTCCCAACGTACACGTCCTGCCTGGATAGACTGTCCCCTTATCGAGCGACGGAACTCGGGGATCTCCACGATCTTCTCGCGAATGCGGATCTCGGGCTTCTGCTGAACGATCGTGTGCTGCTCAATGACCTCCACAGGCCGACACGCAAAAAAAAAATGAGAGACGCCGCAGATGGCCGAAAGCGGAGAAGAGCGGAGAAGAGGAGGGAGGGCGAGGAAGAGGGGAGGGGGGCAGGAAGGGGGAGGGGAGGCAGGGAGGGGAGAGGGGAGGCTGGGGGGGGCAGGGGGGGGAAGGGGATGGAAAGGAGGGG